AGAAACAAAACAATAATGCATAAAAAAACAGCATGATAACTCCAATTGACAAAGTCAAATAAACGATATAATTAGTTCTTTAAAAATATCTTATCACTTTACCTTATTTTAAACCATAAATGAAGAGAAATGAATGCCTAGAATTAGAAAGCGAAAAATTAATCTAACTGCAAACAATTTTGATACCAAACAATAAATAAAAGGAAGGTTATTTTGTTAACAAACGGTTAATTTTTATGAAGCAATAACTAGCTTTTACATTTATATCAACTTTTAAAAAGACTGTTCTGAAAAATAAACCGCTAATTCGTGAAAACTGCGGCAAGACATTATTTACACAGTAAGAGTTAAGTGCTATTTCTTGAACATTGCTGACGAAGTAAATCTTGTTAATGGTCTCCTGCTATATGAAATTATACAATATATTTCTTAAATATCAGTATAGCGCTATGAATTGCATTGAATACAGATTGCGAATTTAGTATTTAAAACGATATGTTACGTCAATTATAAAGTTTTATCTATGCCATTAACATGATTTAACAATTTATATCAAAAGTGCCGACATATTTTCTTATACTGTTAGGTTCGTTTTAATTGCAAATATTCTGTTACATTGCACAAATTCACATTAACACAGGACATAAACAAATCCAAAGTAATTATAAGTTCCCCTTGACATAACTCAAACGAAAGAGATAATGGAATCTTTTCAGCCTGACGTCATAAATGGCAACCAATAAGAACAGGGGTGGTGGCTGGGGCCAGGCGCTTGTAGGAAGAAGTGTTTAATCATGTCACATAATGTCTCTAATTTTCTCCTGTTTCATGCCATTTATCATTACAAATAAAAAATTTAAAAAAAAAAGCATTACAAAAAAAAAAAAAAAAAAAAAACTGGAGTCTCAAATCGATTTTTTCCCTTTTTTTCCAGACACCCAGCAAGCAACGAGTAGAAAAAAAAAAAAAAAAAAAAAATTTGAAAGGTCTTGAAGTTAAATATACTGCATCATATATTTAAGCGAGGCTATACTTTACAAATGCAGTACTTTCAGTTTTTTTTATGCCATCATATAATATTTTTGCTTAAATAGCTTCTGCAATTCTTGTATACTTTTTGTAAATGAAGAAAATGTTTTCCGTTTGATTTTTAAAGACTGCAGAAATGTGAATGCGAATTTTACGTGGCTGTCAATTTCGCACTTCTCAAGAATTCACATATAAGCAGTCTTTTTTTTTTTTTTTTTTTTAATTTCATATGCCGAGATGACGGTATTTTTACGAAACTTTACGTCATTAATAATTTTTATAGATATGTCCACAAAACTTTCACGTTAAAAATTATTTCCTTTTAAAATGAAAAACTTTAAAAATGTCTATCAGTTGACAGATCAGTTGATTTATCAGTTGACTTGTCGCCTAACTTTCGAGCTGTCGATATATACCACGATGTAAACGATCTCTACTCACGGTGACCGGAAAATGGAAATACTGGAATTTTTCGTATGGTTTTCAGTTGACATAACCGATACAGCCTGGAAAATAATGTACTGATCACGTCAATTAATTAACTGCTGAAATCAATCAACTAAGGTCTGTCAGTGGCTCAGTCTTCATGCAACATACATCTGCTAGCTGATGATGGCCACTTCCCAGAAAATTGTTGAAGTTATAATAAGTTACATATAAGCACCATGTTGAAGAAGATCCTTATAGAGTCCTTTAACCGAAACTGAAAGCATAGATTTGTTAAGTTTTTCCTTTGAATCAGTCTTACCGCTTCGTAAATTCCTAATTCTCTTGCTCATGAAAATTTTATAGGATTCCATGCTAACTAAACCACAGAATTAGTGTTACAGAGAAAATATGTCGGCCCTGGCAAAGACTGTGTTACGAGACCTCAAGTATGGCATAACAAAATCAACTTAATGAATAATTATTTTAATTAAAAGTAATGCCTATTTGCTTTAAATAAAAATGTTCTCTTTTATCAACTAATAGAAAAAGATTAATAAAACCTGACGGCTGGAAGCGTCATAACTGGGTATTATATAAAAGCTAATTTTAAAGAGGAAATAATTTTTGAGAATGTAGTTTTTATTTGTTAATTATTATACCTTTTTAGTTTTTTACTTGTTAATTATTTTAATTCATGAATATGTATGGAAAGGAGTTAGTGGCCGAGTCAAGCTTCTTGATATATTATTTTGAGGAAAATAGAGCCAAGCCCTTACATTTTGTACATATTCTTCATCTTGCCTACGACACTGTACATAATGCATATAGTTAGTAATTTCACCTAGAAACCAAATCTGAGATATGAAACTACAATGCTCAGCTATTATAATATCAGTACATGGTCATGGAATGAGATAAAAAATGTGTAAGAAAATTCTTCGTGACTATCATATAAATACAAAGGTAGCATATATATTGTTCTATACGTTATCTGCTGGTTAAATTGTACAGTTTATTTTTAGCTGTTTTTGTTAATTTCGATGTAATTTTGATATTTAAAGCATGGCTACTAAATTTAACCGTATTTTTACTTCATTATGTATCTCAAATTGCGATACAGTGTAAATAAAAAAAAACTTAAGATAGATAAATGCATGAGAAAATAAAAAAGGTGGCATGTGTTTATTGATAAACCTTGTTTCCGGTGAGCAGAATCTGAGATAAAGACTTTGAATTTTTGCGCTTTCCTAAAGACCTTACTCTATACTCTTTATTTTAAACAGCGAAAAGTACATTCTGAAATGCTTAAATAAAGTGTAAAGATTTCAGTTGCATTTATGTCTCAGTTTGAGTTTTTGTTCGACGATGGAGGGTTTCCTTATCTTGAAGCTTGTTTCCTTTCTCCTGATTTGGGTAAGATTTCTTTTTCATTTAACATAAACGCTTTCCCATGGTTAAAAGACTAATGTAACGGAATAAAAAGCTGTTTATTCACATGGATTCAAGTTTTTTTCCTTCTTTATTTTCTTTTTAAAGATCAGCTGTTCGATAATTTTTTTTTACTTAAATTTTTTTGTCCAAGTACTACGTTTTTTAAAGAGGAATTACAGTTTATTATTAAGGATTTCCCATGGTTAAAAACTAATGTAACGGATTAAAAAGCTGTTGTTATTCACAATTAAAAAATTTTTTCCCTTTTTTTTTAAAGGTCAGCTGTTCCATCATTTTTTTTTTTTTTACTTAAGTTTCTTTTGCCCGAGTACTATGTTTTTTAAAGAGGAATTACAGTTTACTATTAAGAAGATGCAATTTTCATGAGTTACAAAAACTTATTAATATTGTTAAAAATGTGCAATGCATTTAAATTTTATGGGCTATTTTAATCTTATAGGAATTCTTTTTTTTTATATTATAACTGAGTAATGTATGAGCTTTTATATACTATATGAACGCATTAATTGAATAATGCTGCTTCTAATAATTTTTTAAAGATGTGTAAACATTGCATCTTTAACGGAAAATCTTTACTTTTTATATTACCTTGATTTCTGTATGTTTTCATAAATTTTATGGCTAAAATAATAATTAATTTAAGGTCAAACAGTATAATTTTAAAAAGGATCTTTCAAGCATAAATGCAAAATGTTACATATGGCATCAGCCTAAAAAATTACATTTTTCTCATATGCATATGTATGCATATAGGTTAAGAGCTGGATTATTGTTTATTAGAAAGCTTTGATTCAAAATCTATTTTATTTAGACAAATGATTCTTAGTTTTATGTTGTTTAGATATAAACTTTTAGTCCTCTATAACTGTCATTAATTTAATAGAGAGATGTTAATCTGGTAATATGAAAATGGATTCCAATATGAAAAATGATTTTCATTTAACTAGTATTGAAAATGCTTCAGTGTTTAAGAACATACAGACTACTCACTATCTTCGGCATCTTTCTACCTACAAAGCAGTTCCATAATTCATCTCCTTAACCTAAGGTCCAGGATCGTGTTTATCCAAAAGATTGTAGTCCTTAACCAAGAAGTGATGAACTTAACTGTGTTCACTTAACGTTAAACAGCGGTAAATAAGTACTTAGCAGAAGGGAAGCAAGTGTGACAATGTGACGTGCCTAAGAAGAAATTTCCATTCAGAATCATTTAGTTTTGGTTTAACTTTATTTTGATTTGTTAGTTGGATTTGCAAGTTGTATATGTGTTAAGGAACGAACATGCTTTTAGAGATGACTTAGTTGCGTTTAAATCAAGAAATTACTTTATGAGTAGTAAAAGAAAGTATTCAACTGGCTGTCATTACTGCTGCATTTTCATGCATCTACGTTCATCCACCGCAGAAAATATTGTCATCAGAATTTATGTATAAATATATATAATTACAAAACAATTCTTTTGAAAACAAAACACAAACATGCCTAGTATATGATTATTTGAAATTTATTAATTATGGTTTGTACAGTACATTGACTCAATTCGGTGTGTGTGGTGTATTGAGAATTATGGCAAAGCACACGAGGGCTATCTGCCTAAGAGGGAGGGATGCCTTTCGTGGAGGACATTTTCTAAGGGAAACTGGCTCGTATACACGTTACACATGGGGAAAACCACGAAAACGCCCATGCAGCCAGCCCGTTCGCGGGATTCGAACCTCAGACCGAACTACCAGTGTTCAGCGTCTTTACCGCTCGGCCGCTGGTGGGCCTTTATTAATTATGAATTTCAATTTTTGGTCTTTGTGAAATATTAGTTCTAAATTTCTTACTTTATATATATATATATATAAGCCGTACTACTGCAATAAAGTACAAGTTTAAAATAACGAATAAAGATATATTTCATAAACATTAAGTCATCGCCTTGTATTGAAATGGAATATAAATACAGTGCAGGGCATAGAATATCAAAAGTAAATCTCTTGAATTGCTTAATTTGATTTATATTATTCGCATTTGTTGTTAATTTTACTGTTAGTTCTGACTGTACTGTCTGTTCTGCGTAGACTGACTGTCTGTTCTCTTGTTAGATTCAATGCAATATGGGTCGGCACCTGAAAAAATTAACGGAGACCAACCTCAGCATCAGTTGTTATCCATTGGCAGTAATTCATCTCTTGGAGTACCTATGTTGCATCCGTCTTCCCACCATGGATCACCTAGTCCCATGCCCACACCATCTCCAACACTAGACGATAGAGGAAGACATAGGTAAGAATTTAGTGGATTATATTGTAACTGAAAAGCAGTAGGCTTTTTCGAAAATTGGAAACATAATTTATATATTTATTTATGACTTTTAATTTCAGATTTCAAAAACTTTCCTTTGATGTATTATTACATCATTAATCTAATTAAGTTAACTTTAGGTTAACAACGTAATAATGCATCAGACGAAAATTTGTATTCCCAAAACCTTAATTTCGAAGAAAGACAAGAATGAAAGTGAATGGGAGATGCAAATATTTTATTTCTGCTAAACAAAAGTCATCTTCATTTCAATCTTTTACTTTTCATGCGCTCGCTGTTTCCTCTTTCAGGTCAGGTTTTAGTCAGGAACACAAATCTTAAGCACTATTGCAGCTGACAAATGTTTCTCAGTTCATCTTATTGATCAAGAGGTTAATAATTTTCATCTCATTCATAAGAAACAAAATTCTTTCGTTTCTACAAATCATAAGAATTCAATAGATATTTCATTCTTTTTGCCTACAGAACTGCGTATATCTTATATAGGTTTAATTCTCGTGCCGAATTTCTACTATTAATAAAACCCGCAAATCGATTTTAAGCACCTTATTCTAAATGTGAACTCCTGATGTATCTACAGTCCCATGCCAGTAAGGTTTAATGCACTACATTAGTGAAACAAGAAGAATCTTGAAATTTCGCTCCAAAGAGCGTGAGGGTGGAAAAAAGAAAGGTATAAATCTCCCATTGCCCCATTCACTCTGATGGTTAAAAAGCTACGTTTATCTTTTCTTTGCAACAAAGACTATTCAAGAAAGTCTTCAGCTGGAGAAATAGATTTCTTGGAGATGTTTCACAACCATAAACATCTCTCGATTCTGGGTACTCCCCGGTAACAGGAATCCAGAATAATATCTCAGTATCAACAGCATCGACCACTTGCATATATATAAGAAAATATATTTAAGTGCTTAAATATATTATAGTTTATTATATATTAATGTCTAATAATAAACTAAAAACTAATTATAGTGCATATGTATATTTTCTTCATTAGATGACACGTTTTTAAATTTAGAAAGAGAGTTGCTCCTACGTAAAGCTGTTTTCGGTATTGGAAGTCTTTACGCAACTTCTGGAAATAATTAATTTACTTAATTCTGCTGGAAAAGAATGTTAAAATTACTTAAATATGAAAACTAATTCGAATAATATTAGAAAAATCTGGGATTCTCGGGTATACTGGATATTTAGGGAACATATTCACCTTCGCGAAATCGCAGAAATCCGCTTAAATACACCTTCCTAAAGTTTTACTGCTTTGACGAATGTCTCCAAAGAAGTTGTGCTGGTGGTGCCATCTATGAGTGTTTCCTAAAGTTTCTAAGTCGAGGATGTTCGGTTTAACACAAGTTTCTCTAACAATTTAACTTTATTAGCAGTACTAATAAGGACTTTTTAGAATTTTTTAATAATATCTGTTTCCAAAACGGTCATGTTATGGAAGTTCTTAATAAATAAAATTAAAAAAATGATTGTGTGATTAAATCAAGGATTACTTACTTTAACGAACTAATAAAATAAATCAGTTATTAAATTTTATTTTAAATAAATTTTGAGACTACTTAAATGCTGTTCGAATCCATTAATAAATTTCTTGTGACTAATTTCTGTTTTTTAATAAAGGGAAAGAGTATCCTTTCAATTAATTCAGTTGTCATAATTTAAAAGTGCATGTTTGGATAAAGTTTAAAGATGCCACATGCATATGAAATTACATTTGAAATGAAAAGATTATTCCAACAGATAGTTCAGTTTTCGAATTCATGTTAAAGTAATTATTATCTTTTAAACATTCAAAGAATTCGGTCTTTTTTATTCATTTATTTATTAATTTCTGCTGGAAATGTTATGAGTAAATTAATTATTTCCTTATTAATTATTTCCGGAAGTTGCATAAAGACTTCCAATACCGAAAACAGCTTTACGTAAAGTAACTCTCTTTCTAAATTTAAAAACGTGTCATCTAATAAAGAAGATATACCTTTAAACTGTTTATCACTGACATATTAGGTGAAGACTCACCTTTAAGCTGTTTAAACTAATTATTTATAAGGCTAGAACATTATATATTACAAAGCACTGCAACACTAACATAGTTGTATTTTTACATGCATCCAAACTGCCGCCCTTCACAAGTTGCTAACTGATAAATGTTGCCATTTACAAATTACTAAATACTCATGCTCCGCCGTCTGTCTTCAGTTTTTCAGAATTAGTGAGAATCTGACAGCTTGACTTTAAAGACTTCCAATTAATAAATGTAATGTTAATAAATGTAGAAAATTCTGTATTTATTAAAATGTAGATTCAATTAGACTAGAATTAAACAACACACTCTACATATCTAGATTCTGCCCATATGAAGTCTGACTGGATTAAAATAGGTAATTCAATAAGAAGTATCAAATTTCAAACTTGTCCTCAGTTTCTTGCCAATCAATCGATTTACTGGATGAAACGCAAAATGTATTTACTCAGAAGGTAGAACTTCCCGAAATGGCTAGCACTTTTGTCGACCCTTATTCAACGATATTCGATCTGTGTGCTTCGCCAGATGTCGCTACTGGTGAAAAAACGAGCTGTATCAACACTTTCTCATTTCTATGATGAGGTTTTATCCATCCTCGAGGAATCTGTTGTTGGAGATTCGTTTAGAATAGGGTTTCTTAAACTTTTTCCAGTCGCGACCCCTTTTTACACTGACATTTTTTCGCAACTCCCATTATCCAATAATATTTACAAAAAATTTGTGGTACCCCATAAGTATTGCGCAAATTAGACACGCGCGTGAATGAAACTGTCAATTTTTTCACTTGTACTGTAATATATTATTGCAGTTTTAGATCATTAACTTTAATTTCTAATTTTAAAACAGAGAACAATGTAAAAATTTTAAATAAGTAGCAGACGAAATGACAGCGTCAAGTGCAAAGCAAGGAAAATGAAAGTTTCTATTATAAAAAGAATGCATCGAAACGTTTTCGTTTTTTTCTTTGTCTCTATTGTCTTATCTTTATCTATTTTTAGATACATTGTGTAAAAATATTTGGTATTTGTTAAATTATTATAAGTTAAAAAATATCAAAACTGCTAAAATTTTTGGCGACCTCCTGCTGCAGGTCCCGCCACGCTCTTGGGGGTCGCGACCCACAGTTTAAGAAACCCTGGTTTAGAAGGAAGTTGCGCGAGAGAATTTTTTCAGCAGTCAATGTACAATTGAGCAGATGACGGCTATGATGGGCGTTCATTGCTATTTATTTGGACGTTTATTATTGTTACGTTAATGAAAACGTGATTGTAAAATTTTAATACTTTTTAAAGCTGGTGTCTTTAAGCATATGTTTATGAGCATACATTTATGAGAAACTTCATCATAGCTAGAGCTTGTTTTGCAGTCACTACTCTACAAAATCCTAGTGTTACTTCAGAAATATGCAGGACTTCAGGCAGAAATAGTGAGGAATAAGGTAATGGGTAGCGTTTCACAACGGTAAAATGTTTGGGAAATACTGAGATAGTGGGATGAATTTTTCATGCAAGGTGTGCCACCAAAAACTACAAACAGGAGTACAAACAGCTTCAATTATTCCTCTAATATATATATAATAACGAATATTATGGTAAAATTCTCTAGAATAGAATAAAATGAAGCTTTAGCTTTTCTATCTAGGGATTTTATAGTTTTTTTTTTTAATTACTTCTTTAACCAATTCTCACAAGTTTCTGATATCGAACCCACCAGCGGCCCAGAGGTGGCTGTTTAACTAGGTATTAAAATTTATTCGGTCTCATGGTCTTATTTGCTGAACATGCTTCATGTTCAGCGACTTTACCGCATGCCAGCAGCCGAGCGGTAAAGTCGCTGAACACTGGTAGATCGGTGCGGGGTCCATCAAGCGGGCTGGTTGCGTGAGCATTTTCGTGGTTTTCCACATGTGTAACGTGTATACCAGCCTGCTTCCCTTGGAAAATCATTCGCAAAGGCATGCCTCAGGCCGAGACCCTCGAGTGCTTTGTCATAATTAAATAAACCAACCACTATTTGCTGACGACTGCTATTTCGATACAAATCCGGCGAACAAGTTGGCTGTATGGGTATTTTCGTAGTTTCTTCATGTGTAACGTGAATATGAGACAGTTTCTTTTTTTAAATATTCCTTTACGAAGGCATGCCTCTCATTAGGCAGATATTTTCAGAGTGCTTTGCCATAATCTAAATAATCACAGTTATTTTTGAATGAAGACTACTCATCAGATCTATCCTAGATTCTACACATCAGGTCCATATCTAGTGAAGTGAGCGTACTTTATCGAATAAAATGAATTGCACTGTCTAGCGGAAAGTTAGGGATTGTATTGAATCTAATTTAGCAAAAAATATAGAAGAAAATGGCCTCTTACGAAGCTTTATGGCATCGTCTATTTACAATTAATTCAGAAAAATGCTAATGCGCAATATTTACAAATCATGTGTCATCAAATATAAATCGCTTACAAAATAGTTTGCATTTTTTTAACTCACACAGGGATATTCGAATGACTCAGTAAGTTTCTCTGTTGGAATATACCTTTGCCATTCCAAGCTTCGGGAAGGGCATTGTGACTCCGCACTGAAATAGTCTAACACCTTAACACAAATTTTAAACAAATACGGTATTCATCATATATCGTGTACATGTTGTCAAATATGGCAGAAATGCGTCTCAGCCCTGACTGAATCATTTTGTACCTCATTTATATCTAATGACATATATAAATAGTAACTATTTCTCGATAGCATATCTGAAATAACTGAGTTGCTAATGAATTTTCCTTTCGACAATATATCACTATTATTTTTGTAATAGAAAATACTGAGTATAAAAAAAACTCTTCAACTCTTTACAGCTGAATAAATAATACAAATAAATTGAACATTTTATGTGAAGTAGCATATTATCCAGATAATTGATTTACTTTTAACTACAACTTTGAACCTTCAATTCATGTATGATGCTAAAACGAAGTACGCTTTAAATATACTCGTATTTTAGATTGTGTGTTCTTGAATCATCAATTTATACATGATGCTCAAGTAAAAAGCTTGTAAACTTTTTTTTTTTTTTTTTTTTCAAATTCTCTTTCTGTTTAAGGTAATTGTAAGCCATCCATAATAATAAGTTACACATTTTTATTAGTTTACTTATTATAATGTATCTATAAAAATTTATTTTATTTTATTTAATTGCATTAGAAGTTATATTCTTACTTTAGATGTTTCTGTTTTCCAGGTGGAACGAGCAAAGATTGTCCAGGTAAGAATAAGCCACTTTCTTTTCTCTTTCACTTTTTAATCGCCGTAAATGAAAATTATTTAGAATGACTTAGCATATGACTCAATACAAAATAAAATTTAAAAAAAAAAAAAAAAAAAATGCGTGCGTAAACCTGAATGGTCATCAGTACACATCGGGTACTTAAAAGAATTTAGTGCACAGTCAGCTCTTGATTAACCGGTCCCTATGTCATTGATAGTTTGTAGATCAGATTAAAAAATATACAGCTATATATACAGATTGATTCAACTAAACATATGCAAACGTCTGAGAGGAGTAGGCTGCACAAAAAAAAAAAAAAAAAAAAAAAAAAAAAAAAAAAAAAAAAAGAAAAAAAAAAAAAAAAGAAAAAAAAAAAAAAAAAAAAAAAAAGAAAAATCATAATCATATAAGAGTGGGAATCGGAAACGCCATCTTCATGTATTAGTGTAGAGAGAAAGCAAGAATTGAAAGAGAACAAAATACATTTTATGACTAGCAAGACATTTGCAAAATGTATTTGGGATCATGGAAGATGTTCAAATAAGTTGTAACTATAAGCTGTATATCACGAATGATATCGTAAGCGCATGGAATCATGTACATTTTGGAAAATTCTTGCGTGCCTCGGACTTCCAAAGATGCGTACTGTAAGGTCCCCAGCAATTTCAACATGGATGTCGTACACCAGTTCTTTGATGTAACCGTAGAAGAAACAATCAAGGCATATTAAAGACGACAATCTTCCAGATTGACCTTTGACAAATGACCGTACTGTGACAAAACGTAAGCAACGTCACCGCCGAGCAACGCCATCTATAGCATGAAGGTTGACTTTCCGACGCTACTCTATTAAATGATTCCAATTTGTTTATGTAGGTTTGTTTGTACTTTTTCTGATATTCAATTCAACACATACCCCTTTTGCAGATTCCTTATCATTAATATACTCCAACGTTTTTAACTTTCGTTTCATTTCAATTTCGTTTCTATCAGCATAAGCTCAGCAAGAATTAACATAACAAATACAAACTCGAAGCCTCTACGATGCAGAATATTTTGATAACATCTGCTGACTGATTATTATTCTCTGAGTCATAAGTTGACGTTCACTGAGTCTTTATCTCTACAGTTTTCGAAACAATTCTTAGAGAGTTCTTGTGACAATTGTTTAATCCCTAAGAGTTAAGTTTTAAATTTTATACTATTCTACTGCTTCTCAACTTTCATCATAATTTAGGCGAATCTCGGTTACTGCAGAGTGAGGTTAAATGCTGTGCATTTTGAACTCTTCATTTGCTAAATCTTAGAGGATTGCAGACTGTAGGCGAATCAGCTTATCGTTGTTAAGAAGGTTTTCCCAGCTTTGGTATCGGTAACGACTCAGTGATTCCATGCTAATGTTAGATTAACATTAATTGATAGAAACTTCCAGATATCTATTTCATGAGCAGCTAGTTTTGTGATTTGTTACAGGCCAAATGAGTACTTTCTATTCGTAGAGTGACAATGGAGTGAACCCCTTCATTTTTGTGTTATGTATTTATTTTCGGTTTAAACACAAATTGTAGTGTCAGTAGAATTACAATAAATAAACAAATAATAATATCAATTAACCAAATTACAAATAAACATATGTAACTGTGTAGTGAAACAAATTCAAAGCTTTTCGCGACACACCAAAAATTGTGTTGCGAATAGTCACTTTATTTCCAGTGATGAGAAAGGAACAAAAAAGATTTAAGGAGTAGTAGATTCTTACTTTGTTAAACTAAAAATGAGGCATGTTTTTAGAGGCAAAATTGGTTTTGTAACAAAAGTTTACTTTAGTTTTATTTCGTTTGAATCTATTTTTTTCTAATAATTTCTTAAATTTCATAATGATTTTCTATAGAATCATTGATAGATTTTGGTTTTATTTTTCAGAGAGGCCATGAAAAGATATTTAAGAGAGCGAGGAGACATGGTTATTGTTATATTACATGCAAAAGTTGCCCAGAAATCTTATGGTAACGAGAAAAGGTATGACTTTTCTACTGCTATCATTATTATTGCACATATTTTTTCTTTTGTTGCATAGTAAAGAGAAATATTAATACTTCTTTTACTATTTTCATGATTAATGATTCCTATTTTATGACTGTAGTTTAATATATTTTTGGAAGAGATTACAGATGATCCTTGAAATGCGCCGTTTGATTTGCTTGAATTTATCTACACGTGGATTTTTTTTCGCAAATTTATTGGGCATCTTTTTAATTTTTAAAGGGATTTGAAAAACTAATAGATAAAAATACACGGGTTACAACCATTAAACGTAAATAATAAAAAATAAATTAATAAATTAATTTAAATTAATGGAAACCACTTTATAAAAATAGGAATATCATTCATATATATAAAATGTGTAAAGATACCGATATATTTTACCACGTAATAACCATAAATGGACACACATTTATTATAAAAAGTTAAAATCTGCTAAGACATAGGCGCCTCTGTCTGCCAAGGCGCAGGTTCAGGTAGTTGTGTATACCTGCTTGAAACCAGCGAACAACACTCTTCATCTTCCTCTGAATGATTCGTCACCTCAACAGAGATTTAATATATCCCTAAATAACACAATTAAGTCTCATACTTAATACCTCTAATCATATGATGGAGAAGGAAATACATGAATAAAGGGAAAGATATGAAAAGAAAGATTTCTTTGATATGTTCTCTACTATTCTTTTTAGTATAATTAATCTTATTGTGAGTAAAAATGTTATTCTATCGTGCAAAATTTTTATGATGATTATTGCGTCCATGGTTGCTTTTTTACATGTGCATGATGCTTCTACTCGTAAGTTTCTTTTCAATGCATGGCAACCTCATTGTTGTACTATGAAAACAAAAGTCAAACATAAGAGATTTGACGTTCTTCATGTTTGAATCAACTTGTTTGATTAAAAGAAGGAGTGGTCTAATTAACAACAAATTTACACACAAGCAATGATCATGATGGTTCTTCCCTATACTGCTATTAACAATCGTATCCACTGCGTTTTAAATTGCTAATATAAAACAGTCATTTCCCCCTCTTTTTTATGAATGCATAGTCTTTGGAGTATATAAATAAATATCTAACTTAATTTATTATAAGAACATAGTATGTAATGCATATACATTACAAAATATGTGTTAATCTACTGTTTAGTAATCACTAAAGCAGAGGCTATTAATAATTAAGTTTTTGGAGGAGTAAAACAGATTTTGATCTGCTGAGCATATTGTCGCATATATATATTCATCGTAATTCAAGGGTCAGCTGCACATGTTAGGAAAGAGTAAATGATTTTTAGACAGGCATGCTCACATTAATAATAAAAGCTATGTTTTCAGGTTTTTCTGTCCTCCCCCCTGTATTTACTTGCTAGGAGATGGGTGGAGAAGAAAACAAGAAAGAATGGCTCGGGATGGGGAAAACGAACAAGGGTCCCACCTATGTGCCTTTATCGGAATAGGTAATTCTGAACAAGATATGCAACAACTCGACTTTAATGGCAAGGTAAAAGGTTTACAGTTTTATTTATTTTGTGGATTTAAAATATGTAACAGGAGATTATTAACAACGTCTATTTATTTCGGAGAAGAGGGGAAACCCTTCAAGAAGTAGACTGGATTTTTTGTTATAATAGTTTCAATATAATCTTTTAATAGTAATGAAAGAAAGCTGTTATATCCAGTTTCACCAAAAAAGTTTAAAAATAGCTACTGTCGTAAGATTTTGCTTCTACTGGGACTCGAATCCAAGAACGATCAAGTTAACACATATATCCGACCAACATTCTGTCATCGAAATGCTGGAACGTGGTCCTTAATCTTTATTCATTTTTCTTTCTTCATTACGGGCCGAGTATTGTTTCCCGCATTGAAATTAATAGCTGAATATATCAACTCAAGTAATTTATTTTCCCCGATACTCTTCTGAAGTCTTATTATTAAAGTTTTTCACTTCATGAAAAATGTGCTATACCCTCCTCGGGATTCGAACACCGGATCATCCGATTACTCGTCGGACGTGCTTCCAGTTTGAACGTGCTTCCAGTTTGAACGTGCTTCCAGTGCTTCCAGTTCGTCGGACACCGCAAAAGCAGGCGGAAAGGAGGGATAAAATATCTTTTATACTCCCATTTTAAAGGGCGACTGGGGATTAGGGAAGTTAATTGCCATATACTGGTGGGATGAATTATCGTCCACCACCTTTTAGAGCAACCACCACTTGTAGAGTCATTAAGCTATATCGATGCAGGAAATGTGAAAAAGTGCCTCTCCGGGACTCGAACTCCGGACCTCCCGTCCACGCGTCGGACGTGCTTATCCAGTTACACCACGAAGGCACATGGAAAGGAGAGCGAAAATATAACTTGTCCACATAACCAACATCGTAAATTGTTCTTCGAACTGCTTAATTATTTAATTTACTTGTATTCTTAATTACTTTCTGTGCCTATCAATGGGCGAAAGGATAAGACCGCTGAAAACCAGTAGTCTGTCCCAATTTCTGTTTCGGAGAATATGTTGCCTGCAAAGTGGTTTTTATGGTTTCTCTAAGAAAATATTCAATGAAAGCATCTCTTCTAAGCTAAAAGAGACCTTACGTACTTTGCCATAATAACTTAACCAACCAATCTTAATTTTACTGCATTGAGAACCGTCAAAAAATCTTTTTGCAATAACCGCTGTTTATACCACTGCTATGGTAATTCATAACTAAATTTTAGTGTGCCTTAGACTCTCCTTCCTAAAACACATATGGTATATGCTTTTAGAAATAATATCTGAGGAAGGTTGTAGACACATTAGATTATTTTGAAGGAGGAGTACATCAAAAATGAGCAATGCCCTCGCCGGGACTCGAACTTGGACCTCTCGAATATGCGCCGAGTCTACTAGCGTTACACCACGAGGACATGCAGGAAGGAAGGGAAAAAATATTTAACGCTGATCCCACATTTTAAGTATCTGTTCCTGTCATGTATAGAAAAGGAAGCTTCGACAACTAAAGGAAATTATTTAATATGCATTTCCATTATAATTACAATTAAAATATAAATCTTCCTTGCATGTTTGCCGAATGACATTTCATAAAGATACCTTGAATAAGTTTAATTTTCGAACGATATTTCGCAGTCTTCATCCTAGCTAAGTTGCCCCCCGTGTATATATTTCAATTTATACAAGTCTCCCTTTCAGTCTTAATGGTTAAGTACGTGCAAATAAATGCAGGAAAGCACTCGAGGGCTATCTATCTAACAGAAGAGATGTTTCTATGGAGGTCTATCTAAGGGAAAACTCATATTTACATTACACATGGGGAAAATCCACAGCACGAAAATGCTAGTTCCGTTTAGCCTAATAGCTGTTTCTCAGGATTCCATCTTAAGTCGAGCAACCGATATTTAGCGGTTTTATCCACACAGCCACAGAGGTTGACAGATGGAATAAGACTTCCGAATGCTTGTAGTTCGTCTTGAGCTTGATTGGGTAATGTGCATTTTGCATTTTTTCCCTTTAATATAAATGCAAAACAGTTTCAGCTTCTAAACGTTTCCGCAAAGGCGATTCTTACAAGGGAGATAACCCTTTATCACAATTAATTAAAAGACTAATTTCTTCCTTTAAAATTTGTCAGTGCCGATTTGCTAAAACCGCTGAACACTGATACTTTGGTAAACGTTATGTTGCCCGTAATTCAATAGACTGGTTGTGTAATATATTGGTGAATCTTTAGCATGTAACGTAGGTGCGAGCACATTCTTCACTAAGCATTCGTCCGCTTCACCTGAGAGTCCTGGCCCTGTTGAATAACATTTAAATAAGCAACGAGCTTAAACTTCAATAACCTGGTGATTAAGAATTTTCTTTAATTTAATGAGACTTGTGTTTTTGTATTTTATGATGATATGAGAAGTATGATAATTATGATGCGTTGTGATTTAGTACTTTCTGACTGAAAAAAGATTTTATTTAAGCTTGAGATGAAATTGGAACGAAAGAGAAAACCTAAGTATATAGCCCGCAGCTAAGCTGAAAATTTTCAGTCATATCCATCATAAGACAGTTTAAATTTACTTAGTGTATTAAAAAGAAGCTGTGATCATTGAAAATTTGCAATTTTTGCTGATGCATTTTGATTTTTTTTAAACTCATTATTGATCTTAATTTTAATTTGAAGGTGAAAACTTGGCATTTTATAGCTTTTGTTATATAAGGATATGAAAAAACAAATTTATATATAAATCTAAATTGATGGAGATGTGTTTCTTAAATTCTGTTCTTGTTGATATTTAAGGATTCATTATAATTATTAACAGGTTATACTTTGCACTCTAATTTCCATTGTTATTTTTACTCTTCCGTAAAGTATGGGATGAACTCTCTATTTTATATTTAATTTTCTTCCGTGTGTGAATTCAGAAGTACCACATTTATATATATTTTTTTTAATTTTCAGAATTATTGTGCAGCAAAAACACTTTTCATCAGTGATTCCGACAAACGTAAACACTTCATGTTATCTGTAAAAATGTTTTATGGCAATGGAGAAGATTTAGGCCTGTTCCAAAGTAAAAGAATCAAAGTCATATCAAAACCATCAAAAAAGAAGCAATCACTTAAAAACGCTGACCGTAAGTTTAAATTCTTTTAATTTGTTCGGTTTATAACAGAAGTATCTTTTTGATAAAATGGAAATGAAAGATTTATCATTATTACTTCTCTCTCTCTGTATATATATATTTCATTTCATTAATTTCATGATTAAATCTTTGCAGCCAAGACGCAGGATTCTAAAAATAGTCTTATATTCCATTTTGTTTATGTTATTATATATATGTGTGTGTGTGCGCGCGCGTATGTATACAAGAATTTAGAAATTTGAAAATTAAGGTTATTAATTAGTAAAGTTGCGGGCTGCTCCTTAAAAAAGATCCCCAAAAAATTCAACTGATTTCTGTGTTATATTATATTTTTATGTTGTTTTATCATGTTGTTTAGATTTTTGTGAGTTTTAATTTGTATTTTCCCTGATAGCTAGTTTACCACCATTATTGATTCAGCTATTATCACTTGATTATTTATTTTCATCGATTATGCATATCTGTATATTTATATACATCGAGAAATAGATATGAAGTAATAAAGAGAAATATACATACGACATACGCTTATCATTTACATACGCACGCATGTTTCCGATTAATATTAGTGTATATGAATTTTCATGGCTTTTATTTTAATATTTATTTAAAGTTTTATTTTAATTATTAATCTCAAGCATGTGTTTCTATTTGTAAAGTTTTCCTAAGTTGTAGAAGTAACAACAAAATAAATGTGACTTATTGGCAATTAATGGCATAATAAATATTTTACTAAATGGACCTTTTATTTTCCGCGGATATTAAGAGTTTAATTTCGTATTTCCGAATCCGTCCTGCTCTTGCATTGCTAAACCTCATCTCATAATATTCTGTCTCTTATTCAGAGAAATTTCGCATTTGGAATACATACTTAGGATCAGTAATTAAAATTAGCTATGATTTCAGTCGGTATATCTGTATATATGGAAAGCCATGTATACAATATTGTCACCTTGGTACTTCTACTAACTATATAGATTCATTAGGTTTTTCGATGCATGAGATGTGAAAAATGTGCAGTATCCTCAACAGGATTCGAAATCCGGACCAGTTATAGCACGAAAACATGCTAAAAAGAGTGATAAGACACCTTATATACTTCCCCTTTTAAAGAGCGACTGGGAATGGGGGTAACCCAGTTGCCAAATCCTGGTGATGACGAATTATCATCCACCACCTTCTTTTTTAGTTCAGGAGCCACTTGTAGAGTCATTTAGAATTTTTTCAATGTCAGGACACTGGAAAATGTGCTGTACTCTTACTGCAACTCCGAGACACGCAAAAACAATGGAGAAAATACCTTATAACAATATATAAGAAGAATTGATATTTATGAAACTGAATAACACAGAAAACCTTTTATCGTTGCTAATGTTTGCAATTTAATGCAGGCGAATAACAATAAAATATATGGAAACCGATAAACAGTAATTTTTCGAGTGAACGGAAATCAAAACTAAAAATTTTAAGCAAAGGCTAAAGCGGAGGTATTAATTTCTTTTACTGTTTGAGTTCGATTTAGTATTACATTATTCTTCTGTGTATCTCACATTGCATTAACTAAATACAAGAATTGTACGACGACTTTATTCATATGGTATGATATTATGTGGAGTTGACCTACTTTTAAAGACTAATATTGCAGCGATTCTTCTCGGAAATGACCGATACAAGATTGCTCAATCATCAACTATATATATAGTCATTTCTGTCGCAAAAGTGTGACTCTAACGGCATAGATTCTCCATTTTTTTTTTTTTTTTTTTTCTTTTCCTTTCTCAAAGGAAATACGAAAGTTTAGCTATTTTCCGGATTCAAACCACGGATTTTCCAAGTAACAGCTGAATGTACACCAGTTACACCAAGAGATAATCCTGATATTCTTCCCCACTTAGAAGATGACTGGAGAGAGGCCTGAGATGCAGCTAACCAAATCCAGGTCGTGACGAATTATCGTCCGCCATATTTTAGTTCGATTGTCACTGTTAAGACATTAGGGTTCCCCCCTTTCATTTTTAATTTATTTTTTAAAGGTCAGTAGTGTAAAAAACCAGGAAAATATGGAAAATTTAATTTTTTTAAAATATAAACTTCAAAAACAAAGTGCTAAAAGAACTTCCAGATGAGGATAAAAGTTTTATTTGCATGTTAGTAGCTCGTCTACCGAATATGTTAGTACGTATCACATAAATCTAGGATCAGCTGAATGATCATCCAAAGTGATTTTACATGCTAAAGTTGCAGAGTGTTTTGCTGTAACAAGTTCATCTTTTTCCAACAAGTACAACCTTGATGTGTCTGTCAAAAGTGGCGGTACCGCCTACTGTTTTCGCTGTTATATTACCTCTTTTGTAGCTATTTTATCGGAATAAGTGACCGTACAGCTCTGGGATCACAAGATTTCTTTTCTTATTCATGTGTGTTACATATACATGCCTTATTCATGTATATAAATATTTCATATCATGCCTGAAAAATTGCTTCTGAATCCACCATCACCTCTTAAAGAGCATTGTTGTGATCGAGGTGAGTAAAATGCATTATAAGAAATGAAAATATGCAAATTTTATCATCAAAGAATCTGAAGCAAATGCAAACGAGGAAATATAAACAAAAATTTTATTTATATAAGTGTAATCTGTTTGAATTATATTTTCATTACCCTAACAATTATGATAAATGTCAAAAAAGCAAAATACTAACATACAATCAGCTAGCTAATCAATGAAATTTTCAGGTTCATTATTATCTTCAGCTTCCAATTTTAATGGATTACCAACTGGATTTGTATCGTGATCCACAGTAGCTAAGCAGTCAGCAGCTAAATGGATAAGATAACTCAATGCTAGTAATTTCTGCCTTGCTCTGTTCTCACAGGGTTAACGGTAATGACAGGTCACAGATAGTCTTTCTATGTGTATAACACGAGCCCTTTAAAAAAATCTTCCACGAAAGAATTTTTTAGAACAAATTATTCTGAAGTGCCTTGCCATAATCTGTGAAACTGTTTGTTTACCTAATCTAGCAGCTGTTAAAATATTCAATTTATAATTTTACTAGTTTCTAAGCTAAACATCTGTTTGATATAATGAATTCCATACAATTTAGGGAACTGTGAACAGTAAGGAAAGTTATTTAAAAAAACTTTTAAATATATATAAATAAAAATTCGTTGTATCCGAAACCGTGTGCCTAAATTTTAAATGAGTACCTAAGGTCTTGAGAGCATTTAAGTTAATAATCAGATGAGAAACCCCTGCTATTCTCATTTAATGAATAACTAATAGTTTTAACTAAACATGACAACCGATTTTAATAGAATTTCTTCAATGTAGACATAAACAAAATATTCAGATTAAAAATTAAGTACAATAAACTCCGTCTTATACAGATATGCTTTAATTGGCCATATTTCTGTCTAGAATTCTTTCCCTCCATTAATGAGATTTCTATTGCCGATTGTAGAAAAAAAAACCACAGTATGCTATACTCAAGGAACAATGTATTGATTCTTCTAGAAAGTAATAGGCTCACCAGCGGCCGAGCGGTAAAGTCACTGAACACTGGTAGTTCGGTCCGAGTTTCGAATCCCGCGAACGGGCTGGCTGCATGGGCGTTTTCGTGGTTTTCCCCATGTGTAACGTGTTTACGTGCCAGTTTCCCTTAGAAAGTCCTCCACGAAGGCATCCCTCCCCTTAGGCAGATAGCCCTCGTGTGCTTTGCCATAATTAAATACAGCACAACTACACCACTTCTAGAAAGTAAAACAAAACAAAATAAAAGTGTTTCTAATTATAATTTAAGAAGCACTGGAGCTTAGGATCATAGTCTTTTCACTGAAATATTTTTTTGTTCATTTTCCTTGTTTTCCAATTTACATTAATTCGAATGATTTATTTTCCTCTTCATGAATGAACTTTTAATTAATATTTATGCTCAACATAGTATAGGCAAGATATAAATTTTATTTACAAAATACTAGTCTGCAGATATTGCTTTACTACTCTAAATTTAACTCCTGGACTCGTAAATACAGTTACATAGCTAATCGTCTGTCTTGATTTTTAAGGAGTTAACACCAGTTAAAAAAAAGGATTAAAATAAAATGTTTTATCCGTTCGTCAGCCTGACGGTTACATAACCTAAGCAGTAGCAGAAAATAAAATCTCCGCAGCTTGAGGAAAAATCAGAACAAATGCTGTTGTGAAAATAAAATATAAAATGTAAGATAAAGTGCGCCTACAAAGCTTTCTTTCAAGCCTTCAATTCGCCACGAAGCAATTACGGCTAACAAAACTGAAGCCAATTGATGTAATTCAGTCGCAGATAGAAGCAGTAAAGTGACGATCAGTAATAACTGCCAAAGTCTCGTTCTCGAACTAAAGAACTGTTTTCTGAAATACATTGACTTTTTCCAACCTGGTGGGAGCCTAAGAAAGTAGAATTGAAAATATAGACAAAATATTACGATAATTGGTTTATTATCGTATTATTTTGTCTTGGTTAATTAGCCCTTGTCTGATATCTCGTCTCTTTTGGTTACTTAACCCAAAAACTCACAAATCTTAATTGACATTTTTTTTTTTTTTTTTTTTTCGAATTACCCAGCCGTAAATTTGTCTGGGTACAATCCTAATGTCCTAATATCCAGCTCCATAGAAGTAAATTAATCTGGAATTTCTTATAAAAAATTTGTATTTTTTGTTATGATTTTACTTATTTTATGCTTCACTGTTTATTTATTTACTTATTTATTTTTAAGTATGTATTGCATCAGGAACCAAAGTAGCCCTCTTCAACCGTCTGCGTTCTCAGACTGTAAGCACTAGATATCTGCACGTTGAAAATGGCAATTTCCATGCTAGTTCTACACAGTGGGGTGCATTTACTATACATTTATGTAAGTATTATAGCTTAAAATTCATTGAGCAAAAGTGGAAATGATGGAGCAAATATTGTAAGCAGATGAAATAAATTAATAAAAATGAATTCAGTCACGCAGTTTCATGGATTTTATGCAAAGTACTTTTTTTTTTTTTTTTTTTCCAAAAGTACTTTTTTTGGATTTTATACAAAGTACTTCAGCAGTTCTATGAAACTGATAATATACCTGAGTTACTTAAAACGTGCACTAGATTCCTGAGCTCGACTATCCTTCCTTTCTCTTCATTCCATCTCAATTCATATTTGCTTTTCTTTCGTTTAGAAAAGCATAAAATTTATAAACAACTCTATAAGATTAAATTCAATTTGGCTTAATTATTCAATTTAGCAATAGTTAGTCTAACCCGCTCAGATTACTGGATAGATTATGGTCCCGTCGTTACCTGTCAATACTACAGCACTCAGTAATTACACGGTAGTAAAACAACTGATAATTTGTTTTGATTCTAGCTCGAATTACAGAAAGAGCTTGACTAACAAAATTATTTTTCCTCTCTTGCGGAATTAACAGACAACATTTTGCCAGTCAAAAGGTTAAATTTAAATACCAGAACTTGACTATGCTATTCCATCCCTATTAATGAAATTTTCAAGTAGAGAAAAACTCACCAACTGGTAGCAATAGCGCAAATAGTAACCAAAAAATAACAGAGCAGCTTTGGCCATAATGGCCGTCTAATGTTCCCAAACTTCTATCCTAAACTTAGCTTTCTGCTCGTATTTTTAGCTTATTAATACATTCTGATGGAGAAGCGATAGAAGTATAGGACAGCTTTTAACATGATAGATAATATTTTGATTAAAATAAACCTTACAATTAAAAAGTATTTCAAATATTATACTATTATTATTATACGCCAAAGAACAGGGGCTCCGTTGCCTTGCAGTCTCGCAGACTGCCTTAAACAAAGAGGTACATGGGCAGTATTTCAAATAGCACATTTTTGCTACAACTTCTAAGTTTTGAGTATTACAAATGCCTGCTCATGTGCTTGTTTTATCCATTGCCGAGACGAAAGTCGCTCTCTTGGTTGGATGATCAGTAGAGGCTCTTCTTCTAACATCAAAGAGTGGAGTTTAAATCTCGAAGAAAGTTTGCATGTCTAGTACTAGTGAAGCAGAAACACTCAAAATCGTGAGTAGAACTCTTTCGTGAGGTTTGTGCTTAGAGTCGGTCGGTGTTGTGAGGTTAGTGTGTTCGTGATGTCAGTGCTATTTTGAAGCAATGTAAGTGAAAAATGAGCAATGTTCTCGCCGAGACTCGAACCTCGGTCTCTCGAATACGCCTCGAGTGTGCTACCGTTACACCACGAAGGCACACTGAAAGGCGGGAGAAAACACTTTATATAGAGCCCTTCTTTTAAAGAGCCATTAGGTATTAGGAGACTCAGTCGCCAAATCCTGGCCAAATCGTCCTCCACCTTTTAGTTCGGGCGCCACTGTAGAGTCATTAGAATTTTTTGAAGCAGGAGAGGTTAAAAATGTGCAATTCCTTCGCCGGGACGCGAACCTGACCCTCTCGAATACGCACCGAGTGTGCTACCGTTACACCACGAAGTCAAAATAGCGGTATAGCGCTTATGTCTTGTTAAGCGGTTCACTTTTCTTATTTGTTTTTTTTTCCTACATTATATCTCGCGCAAAACAGAAATAAAAGTTGAGGTGGTATCATTTAAATAAACATGAAATATTCAAGAAGAAATAAATGATTGAAAATAAATTGAATTCTTCCAAGATTTACTGACATCGGTAACAGGAAACAGTTTCAGTCTATATTATTAAGAAAAAGTCAGTGTTTGCGAAGAACACAATGCCTTACGATGTGTATCTGGGAATTTCTTAGTGTATAAATATCAGTTGTAAAATAAATTGCTTGGATTTTGCGGAATTTCTTTCTTCTAAATGGTGATAATAAACATTATTGATTTTATTTTCATAGATTTCCGTCTTCGTGCATACTAATAATTTATAAAATTTAGTAAAATCGTCAATTACATACAGAAAAGTCATTCAGTAAATATCATAAGTGCAAAACTAAGGAAATTTTACACAAATTCAAACTCCATCGAATCAAATTCCGAGTGTGAACTTTTAAAACGATCTAAAAGTTTGCCTTTTAATATATTACTAGGGGTAATTCATATAAATCCCAGCATCTTTTCAGGAAAAAGGTATGTTTAATTACGCAGTATGGAAAAACTATCACAATACTCGACCAAGACTAATAAATAAATGAAAATTCGACCGTTAAAAAAAAAAATATATTATAAACATTTGCTCTGCCATTTCTTTTTTGCATTCTGTTTAGTTTTATGTTATGTAATGCGTAACCGTGAGAATGTATTTGATATTAGTCCATTATATTTGCTGTTTTTCAATGCATTCCCGGATAATTTGTTTAACAAATAAATGATACGTATTATCTGCATACAACATGTATTCCGAAGTTATTTATTTAAGGCTGTTATTGTAGTTTCCTAGAAAATATAGTACACGCGGTTAAGTGATTAATTATAAATGAAATATTAAAATTTATATAATTAAGGATATGTATAAATTATTTATATAGGCTTTCATATTTTATAGTGGCGTTTATAGCCATTTATGATGAATAAATGGGACATGATAAATTTCTTCCTTATATCAAATTATGTCTTTTAATTATTATCTTTTAATTTTTGTTGTTATTTTAACGGAATACCAATCGCTAAGCAATAAGTAAGTAATCATTACGCAGCAATGATTCATCCAAACTTCAAATACTGGCTACTGAATGAGCTGGTTTTTTATAGAGGGCTTTCAAAATTCTCCCATGTATAATGTTAATATCAGTCAGTACATCATTTATGCCTTTCACTCGAGAGGCTCATGTGTCATAATAACTTAACTTGTCTTATTTTGCAAGGCAATGTAATATACGGATATAAATTATCCATTCTCTTGCGTGTATAACTGAAATTCTCGGATGCATTAGCTAGTTATCTGAATACTTTCTATCTTGATTTCCCCCCTCGAATTATATGAATGAAAATGTTCTCTTTATTTTTACACTTGGAAAATTACATCTTTCTTGCATTATGCCCCACCAATGACCAAGTGATTAAGACTGCTGAATACTGGTCGTTCGACTTGGTTTGGGTTGGAGCCCAGGTGAATAGCTTAGCTGCTTGGTTGGATTTCGTGGTTTTTGCAATTTGTAAAGTAAATACAAGTCAATTCCCTCGAAGTGTATTCCACGAAGGCATCCCTCCTCTTAGACAGACAGCTTTAGTAGCATTTCCATATTTAAATACCCTTTTCTGCATTGGGGGTCTTTTGTTTAGATGTTCCAAGAAAGTGTAAAATTATTATACAAGGAATACAAAGAAAGATTAGAATACGCTAAGTATTGTACGCTTTTAAAATTGGGAGATTTTAAGCAATCATTTCTTTTTCAAGTTGGCTGATAATAAGTTACCTGAAGTATTTTCTTGAATAGAGAAACTATCAGTATTCAAGGATCACTTCATGATACTTGCACACGAAACCTGTAAAATAGATAGCTTCTTACCTATGACTCTGCACTGAGGGGGGGAGGTGCTGAATATGAGAAAAGTATGCTAAAGTTGCCCCAAGAGATAACGAAATGGTGAGTAAAGCAATACAATAGCAATTACAGATGTAAAATGTACACAAATTATTTTATTTAAATGGTATCTTTAGTTATGATTGCATTGCACTTCTTGCCATGATGCAGATGGATCTCTATCAGAGTTGAAGTTTGTCCACAGTAGTGATTTTATTCGCTGAAATTGAAATACGTGTTTTGAACGTAGTGTTCATACATCAGATGAGATTGACAGTTTCTTGCAGTTGCATTGCTCATTTCTTTGTAGAGCCATTTTGAACAACTGATAGTCGATGTGATCCTGTAGCAAGAACTAAAGCGTGTAGTGGCTAAAGCGTCCCACATTCAGTGAATGGAATGCGGATCAAAGGCCATTTGAACGAGGTTCTAACATTCCGGCAGATTATCATTTGCTGTAACAGGTAGAATGATGCGTTATCGTTAATAAACTCCAGTGGCACATTGGTACAGACGGAGTTGGGACAAAAACATTTCACAACAGAGTGCTCCACTTACACTACCGGATTTCAGTAACTACAGCTGTTATGACCTTTCAATGTAATGTTTCTACGGATGAGAATATTTGGACAGCCATATCTATCTTTTTCAGAAACGAATTGGATGTTATTGTGCGCTAGTCTCTCCTGATTTAACTTCCACAATTCCTACTGAGCTTGAGTCTACTCTCGCGCGTAAAAAGTACTTAACTCCATTGAGCTATTTTCAAATTCCGAGTTCTCTGGACCATTATTTTTTGCAAGGGTCGTTCCACACTGTTCGCTGGGAAAACATAGTGATTTTATGGAGCCTTTTACCACGCTAAACCTTATTACCTGCCCTTCCGTGCTCCTAAGAAGCTTGTTTTTAATGACTTCCGCTATATTTTATCGGTTTCTGTCGGCTGACAGCAGTCATTATAGAAAATTTCTGTTCCAATGAACCAATGGAAATTTCTGTTCCAATGGTTACCAATGATCTTTTGAATAGTTATACCTACAATTACGCCAGCGATACGATATTAGGACAGTATTAAATTCGTCCGCTTTACACCTCTCATTCTGCCCTTCTTTTAAATTTCCAATACTTTTACCTGGAGAAGGATGTCATCTTAAATGCTTTTAAGAAACTATTTCATAGGCTTCAATAGAGAGCCTAAGTTCGCTGAATGACTGACACTGATCGCGTTTGCTCAGAATAGGTCTGATCCTTAATTCTTGTTGCGGAAAATCGGCGGTTATGTAACCGCCAGAGAGTTTGGGGCTGCGTGACGATAAATTAGGAAATGTTTCTTCAGGGACACATAAGACATTTCTGAGAACTCTGCCACGAGCTAGTTGCGTGCTGTTTTG